TGTGCGGCGTCGCCTGACTTGCCGACGATAGAATCGCCCGGGTGCCGAAGCTGTCTTATGAAAAATCAGAGCATCAACAGTGGTCATCACCTTGTTCCACACCATTCTTGTCTGCTTTTCTTTGCCATCCTTTGAAAGGAATCTGGAGTTCTTGTTACCACTGGAGCTTTTTCAGAGACATTGTTGCATCTTCTTATTTGTGTGCAGCCTTCTGCTGCCCGCTTACAGGAAGTTCAGGGTTGTCCCCGTCTCACCATCGCACTGTTGCTGTCGTTTAAAACAGATTGTTGTTGCGCACTACAGGACAATACGCGATACCGTCAACAGTCTCTTGAGCACGCACAATATAGCCCTTTGTTGCTTCAAACTTGACAGTAGCGCTTTGGAACGCAAAGGCTGACAGGCTTACAGACAGATTAGCACAATGGAAGTTAGAGAGAGAGGGTGAAAATCGTCCCAATAAGTGAGCGCTTTTCAGGCTCTCAAACAATCTAACCTGATGCCCGTAACAAAGAAGGTAATGAGCAGAATAGTCAGTTTACCTACTGTACGATGTAGTAGTAGCGACTCTTATTTGTGTATCGTATCGTATCTGCTTCCTATATGTTCCACTGATATTGAAGTTCGCTCATCATGAAATGAGTTTTTTTGAGGCATGCTATGTTGGTGGACAATAAATCTGATCTGACTCATATACCTCTCAACTTCATCAGTGATGATCAAAAGGGATATCTTGAGGTGAGCTATTCCTTGCTCCACTCCAATCCTTGAAGAGAAGTTTGTCCCTAGGGGATAATTTTCAAGAAAGAAAAGACCCCTCTGAAGAAATCGAGAAGACCCCTCTGAAGAAAGAAAAGACACCTCTGAAGAATAAGCTGGTCGGTTTATCTCGCCTTCCTCAAATAAAGTTGACTGTATGCACCAATCATCCCTCACTGATAAAGGGTCCAAATTATTTGCGGCTTTTCTCATGATCGACAGCTCGCGTTGAGATTATGTTGGGTGCATCGGGTGCCTTACGGAGGAAACAAAGCTTCACATGCAGGTTTCTCGACCCATGTCACGCGTGGAA